TGATGTAGTCAGATGATGATGTAGTCAGATGATGATGTAGAGAGATAATGATGTAGACAGATGATGATGTAGTCAGATGATGATGTAGTCAGATGATGTAGTCAGATGATGATGTAGAGAGATGATGATGTAGTCAGATGATGATGTAGTCAGATGATGATGTAGTCAGATGATGATGTAGAGAGATAATGATGTAGACAGATGATGATGTAGTCAGATGATGATGTAGTCAGATGATGTAGTCAGATGATGATGTAGAGAGATGATGATGTAGTCAGATGATGATGTAGTCAGATGATGATGTAGTCAGATGATGATGTAGAGAGATAATGATGTAGACAGATGATGATGTAGTCAGATGATGATGTAGTCAGATGATGTAGTCAGATGATGATGTAGAGAGATGATGATGTAGTCAGATGATGATGTAGTCAGATGATGATGTAGTCAGATGATGATGTAGAGAGATAATGATGTAGACAGATGATGATGTAGTCAGATGATGATGTAGTCAGATGATGTAGTCAGATGATGATGTAGAGAGATGATGATGTAGTCAGATGATGATGTAGTCAGATGATGATGTAGTCAGATGATGATGTAGAGAAATAATGATGTAGACAGATGATGATGTAGTCAGATGATGATGTAGTCAGATGATGATGATGTAGTCAGATGATGATGTAGTCAGATGATGATGTATCATGTAGTCAGATGATGATGTAGTCAGATGATGATGTAGTCAGATGATGATGTAGTCAGATGATGATGTATCATGTAGTCAGATGATGATGTAGTCAGATGATGTAATCACATGACGATGGAGTCATTAAAGTTATAATTACTGCACTGTACCTTCTTATTCTGTTATTCTGTGACTCTGTGCTCGTACGTAAACACGGGCTAGTGCTGATTGACGGTTTTAAAACGTCGAAAAAGACAGCCAATGAGATTGGAAATTCGTCATTTGAAACGCCATCAAAAACGTCGAGCGCGAGTTCAGCATCGTCCCATTCAGAAATTGAAAACAATTTCAAAAACTTTTCGTATTTTTCTCGCATTACAAATTTGTTTTGTACGTTAAAATATTGTTAGTATATAGTAAAAATATCGTAGATTGTATTTCCGTGATTATTTTAGCGTAGTTGTAAAGATATTTGAAGTATTTTGGATTGTTTGAAGGTATATGTATCGTTAGTTTGATTGCATTTGCCTACAGTATACCCAGGGCGCAGTAAAACACAGTGTTTTACTGCGCCCTGGTATACCTTAGGAAATAGTACAACTATATTGCATAGAAGCTAAGTAACGTATTTCACTCCCTGTGCTCTTCTCAAACTGTTTACTAGGTTAACTCAAGGTTGACCAGATTAGCTAGGTAAAAACAGACCCAGAAAATATCCAAAAATAACCTACGTTTTCAGGTGATCGTCTAATCAACTAATTGGCATCACTTTTTTATGCTGTAGTGTCTGGAAGTACATGTGATCTAGGAACTGATAGTAAGCCAGATAAAATACAAGTTGGACATAAAACGTCATTTAGACTTTCTTTATCAGGGCTGAGGTAAGTAAGATGTATCTGCTGCCTAGCATGTCAAAAATATAGTAATAGACATGAAAATTTGAGAATCATTTTTGTACAAATCAGTGTTGCCATATTTGTTATAAAAGTGTTAGATCTAATAATTGCGGGAACCACTGAGTATTTTCATAAAATACAATACAACGGTAACTCCGAATAAAGTAAGCATTTTGATTCAACGTTTCAACTTTATTTAGTCATCATCAAAACGCTGAATCAAGATGCTTACTTTATTCGGAGTTACCATTGAATTGTATGTTAGATCTACATGGCGGATGTTGTATTGCTATCTGTAGCTAATCTGGGTTAGAAAACCGTACTGTTCCCGCAATGTCCCAGGAAATTTGCCAATGTTCCTGGAAACGAGGTTGAAAATTTGCCTGCACAAATGTGAATGCAAAAATGTGAATTCAAAAAGTGGATCAGCAAGCGGCACTGGCATGCTCGCGCATTTTAACGATGCCTAAATGCCATGCTCGTCTTATTTGATTGTTTTTAGACAGCAAAAATTAAAGAGTGTGCTTATAAAGGTTGATACGGAAAAGCACAACGTTGCTACAACTTCAGAAAATGTAAGTATATACTGTTGGATATTAGCCCTGACAAAAAAAATATCCTGTGGTTCCCGTTTCCCGACCGTCCCTATTTTTTGTGCCGATCTTAATGTTTTGTTGTTAGATTGGGATGTGGTTGGGTTGTTTGCACCTTACAACGTTACACCAAGTTGAGTTGTTTATGTGTTCTGGCATTGCCACCTGTCACACTCATGGCTGTTGCTAACCAATATCAAGCAAAAACGATTCCAAAAAATTGTTTTCCGACCTACTTATCCTATTTTATCAGGATGTGAAATCGGAACTGCATGCAGGCTGGATGTTTTTTGTTAGGCCTTATAAGGAAATACATGAATGTAACAAATGGCGATTGGATCAGGTTTTTATGATATCCGAATAATCAAGCAAGACTGAGGCAGATAACCACAACCTTGGTTCATTTTCGATATTGCAAAACTCGAATTGAAACGAATGGTTGAGTGGGCAATATTTGAGTTTAAGCTTTGCTTTTTTATCCAGGTCACTTTTACTACAAAGAGAAGTTCTGCCTACGTCGATGTATATGGTCAGGATGCTGGAGAGACTTACGTTATCTTCAATGCAACGTCATCTGTTAATATCAGCAAGTACGTGTTGCCTTAGATACGATAGTTTACAAACAAGATATAGTTGGCACGAACCTTTACCAGTTGTAGCAATGTAGCAACACAATAGAAATAATGTGGGTGGTGAATTTTCAGCTCGCATAATTTTTCCACCGTCTGCTTGTGCAAGAATTTTTTGCAGAATTTAAAGTTATTTTTCTTTGGTTTCCTCTTTCCATGAATTTTTGTCTCTCTTTTTCGCTTGCGCGAACCTTTTTTGTCCCCCCACCCCACCCCACCCCACCCCACCCCACCCAACACTTTTCTGATGGTCCGTTCCTTAGGAGGGTGCTCATGCATGTGAGCCAAACATGGGGAACTATTCTTTTCACCTTTCGTTTACATGAGAAAATCAGCCTGCTTGCTTGGGATGGCTCGCTTGCGCAAACATAAATCATAATGATTGTATCCTCTTGAATAGTGATTGATCGATAATCAGGCCGATATTTGCCTTTAGTTATCGGTTGGCAATCGGAATCGGTAGAATTTTTTTTATTTCCGCTTGTCTAAAACCGATTGTTGAGAAAATACGCACTTTAAAAAATTATATACATTGCGCGTTGATATACGTTGCGTTTTAATGCAATATGTTGCCGCGACGGAATTAATGCGTGAAGCTTGCCATTTATGAATGGACTTTGGTTACAGTAACATGTTACGTTGGAAATTATCATTAAAAAATCGAAATGAATAGTCTCACCTTTACCCGGTTGACTGACATTATGACGTCATTTTAAAATCGGTATCGGGTAGATTGTTGCATGACTAATCGGCAGTTTCCGAGTGTGGCACAATCGGTCAATCACTACGCAGTTTCGGAGCAAAGAATTGGCAACAAATATTTCCATAGTGTTTTACAGATAAATATTTGAAACCAACCCACAGACTTCGAGTATATAGTTATACAGTACAGTATCTACCGATGTTAAGTTGTTGATGAATTTAACAGTTTACCCACTCAGTGTTAAGGTGGTCTTCCACCCAAATTTTCCAATATTCGTTATTTTTTAGAAAAACGTAAAAATGTAGTCTTTATAGCGTTCTTTATAAAATCCGTGTAATTTTAAGAACGAAAATGTACCGTAAACCAGAGAAATCCAGCAAATTCTACACCTTCGTAGGGTAAAACCACGATTTTGCCCGGAGCGATAAAGATATGCGATTGGTTTAGTCTATTGTTCCATTTTCAATTATATTGTTCTATCTAAGTTATTCTAATATATGCAAAAAGTTTAAAATCGCTTTTCTCACATGAGCATTTTGCGAAATACTAAAAACTCTCCTACTGTTCATATACTGAATCAATTCGTTCGAAATTTTCAGAGTTTATTTGCTTGTTACATAGCCATGTCATGGACCTAAAAAACTTCATATATCAGCAATATACATTGCAAGAGTAGCCTTATAAGAACTCCTTTCTTCATATAATTTTAAAAAAGTAAAATATGAAGGCCTTATTATATTACTTGTATATTTTTTTAGGTTCATGACATAGATTGATGTATTAAGTGTCATTAAAGCTGTTTCTAAAGTCCTCGGTAAATTAGTTTGGCTCACATAATTTTTGGAGCAAACCCTATATTTTACCCTATAGCGAGGCCTATCTTTGTTACTATGGCGACGACGAATGTAAAAGTTACTGATCCTGCGTCAGCTGAGGATATTCCATCATATTTGACTCAAATATGATGATAAAACCTTTAAATTGAAAAAAATGTTTTTAGGGTGGAAGACCCCCTTAAGTGTTCTCTGGATTTAACCATTGTACTAGTGCGCTGCCCTCACTCGTATAGGAAATATTTGGGAATCGTAGCCGGATTAAAGTAAGCATCAACCATAGTACATCTAAAAATGTTCCGACTTATTAATTTCTGGACTGGAGAGGTGGCTAAGGTGTGCCTCCCGCCACTGTCTGAAAATAATTCGAATTTAATTGTTTTCTTATTATTCTCAATGAATTAGTCTTCACAGTTTTAAAGTCAAGGTGCATGTGGTTCATTCCAATACTTTGGTGATCTTAAATATGGTGATTGGATGGATTTACTTCGTCGCTTGGTCGATCTCATTTTATCCCCAGGTAAAGCAGACTATAGTTTTGCAGTAATGCATGAAACAACCAAATTACGTTCTTGCATGGATTTCTATATATAGTACTAACTGCATGTATATTTATATATTTCTGTTTTATAGGTGTACGTGAATTGGTCAAGAAAAAGGTAGGCCGTTTGGAATGAACTTCAGATACAATTTTGAATGTTTCAAACTGGCCTTTATATACATTGTATACTGGCATTATTGTCCTAAGGCCAGTTGTTCAGGGGCGGTTGTTCAAAGTTGGGTTAGTTTAACCCTAGGTTAACCTAAAATTCGAAGCAAACTTCCTCACAGCTTGTCTATAAATTTGGAAATATTCCTTCAGAGATCTTGTCTGGATCGATAGGAGTTTACTTCTCTGAAGTTTTGAAATAAACAGACGTGTAGAAGCACACAAATTAAAACAGCAGGCTAAACTTTAACCCAGGGTTAGCGCTTATCCACCTTTAAAACAGCCGGCCCTAGAGCTGCATGGGTTAGTTTAAACCTAGGTTAACCTAAAATTCAAAGCAATCTTCCGAACAGCTTGTTTATAAATTTGGAAATATTTCATTAGAGATCTTGCCTGAATCAGTAGGAGTTTCCTTATCTGAAGTTTTGAAATAAACAGACGAGCATGGAATGTATGGAATACATTTGCTGATTTGGTACTAAGTAGTAATGACTTCATTTTCTCATGGTCTGTCAAGATATGATGGTCTGGAAACTGACTAGAAGTCATTGTATTATGTTTTTGTCTGAGTTTATGTTAATTTGTGCACGGTCACGGTGATTGAGCTCATTAATTTTTGTATAATTAAGTAATCGTCCAATAGAGATAGCTGAGATGAAACGTGCAGCCACAATGAATAATATCTAATGAAGGTGGGACAAAGGATTTGAAATTGGACTTATCAATATACTGTACAATTATCAGTGATGAAAAATGTCCAGCAGCACCATTTTAACAACATTTTTGTCATCTTGTATACTGCATGGAATGGGAACTTTTTCTGATTTTTACTAAATAATGTTTGTTTTTCGTTCCATTCAGTGTTATTGGTTTGAACTTTGATTTCGTCTGCTATAATCTTCTTGGTTTTATTGCCTATGGCGTGTTCAACATTGGAATGTTTTGGATTCCGAAAATCAAGGTAAATTTCTTACCTCAAGGGTAACTTATTCCCCCACAGCAAACAATAGGCAACACTTATGAGTAGCTACGATATTTTCGTGAAAATTAAAACACACTTTCACCATTTCATGAATTGATGGCCCTCTTTGCCAAGATTTTCCATCCAATTTAAATCAAAAGTTGCTTTGCGAAAAATGGTGAACATGCTGCATGTACTCATGGAAAATAAGAACCCAGTTTAGTTTTCGTCTTGACAGGGCTTCGGTTTAGGAGATGAAACCATAATGATTTCAATCTTTGTTTTAGTCTGAATACCAGGCAAAACATCCAAATGAAGATGAAGATCCAGTTGAATTAAACGACGTGTGCTTCACGCTTCATGCTATTCTTTTGACATTAATCACTGCTATACAAATCCTTATTTACGAGGTGAGGTTTTGCCTAAATATCTTGTTATTTTTATTATTACTAAAATATCAGTAACCATGGTTAGGAGAGGGGTGTAACCTGGAAATTCTTTGCAACTGTAGTGTTGAAATCAGTACTTGATTACTATGATCTCACCATTAGATACCTAATATGTGGTTCTAACATGAAATAGTTTAATTTGCTATATCGGATTCCTTTGTTTCAAGTTAAATCCTTTCTTCAAAAAACACTAATTGAAGAATTGCTAAAACCAAAACTGAATGTAATCCTGCGCTCGTGATATAAACTCTACTGAGCGTTTACATCTCGCCCAGACGAGACCCAGCATCTTTTGCCGGCATCCGCCTAGCCGGGTCTAGAAATTTCCATATAAACACTCTATTCCTGCTAAGCGGGTTGAACTTGCCTTCTCAGCACGTGTGAATCCCTTATCTGCAAAGAATATGACGACCAGGGCCGCCGGGGTGGGGGCAAATTGCCCCGGGCCCCCATTTATCATATTAAACTCACAAGGGACATATGCTTGCAAGGCATAACAGGGTCTTATTGCAAATTATAACGATGAACCAAAATAATACATCTTTCAAAAGTGTAAATTAACATTGAAGGAGGCGATTTGCATATCAAGCTAAGATCGTCTGAAAACAATGATCCCGCATGGCCTCGCTGACAGTAATCTATCGCCAGGATCGAAGTAAAACAAATGTCCCGTTAAACAAGCAAAGACTTTCATGTTTCGCTCTCTACTCTGGTTTAAATAAATGATTACAAAGCCCAGTCGAATTGTAATCAAGACCCAATGTTTCGACACTCCAGTCTAGTGTCTTCATCAGGGGGTGATCTAAAGTTACAATCGTGGCTTCTTAAATACCCAAGGGATGACGTCACCTGCCAATGAGATGCTTGTATTCCTCTGGCAAATAGGCACCGTCATCCCTATTCAAAGCATGATTACTCATATTTATATGCCACGCTTCTAGGCAAAGTCTTTGACCATAGCGATTGTTTGTGGTAATTACTTTAAAGTTTTCCCACGCAATCTCGTGTTTGGTGTAACACACATGTTCTGCTAAAGCTGATTTTACCTTGTCTAAAGTTGAAACAGCCTTTTGATGTTCTTTTAGCCGTGTACCAAACTGGCGTTTGACCCAAATACTCCTTCTCGCAGTCACCGCATGGTATAGAATATACAGCATGAGTTTCTGATTTGTTTTAACAGGATCTTTTGGCTTTGCGAAAATATGGCTTTTAAGGAAACTATAATATTACAATTACTTAAGATTCTCTTGATTGGTTCTGTGACACCTTCAATGTATGGAAGACTTTAATATGATTTTCTCATGATTTAAATTTATCTCTTCTTCTCTAGAGAGGAAACCAAGTTGTCTCCAAGTTGTGTAAGATACTCATATCCATTTCTTGTGTGTTCGTGTTTATTGCTTTGATGATAACTCTCTTCACCGACAAAATTAGTTGGCTCGATTATCTTTATTATTTCTCCTATGTCAAAATTGGTGTCACTTTGATAAAATACATCCCACAGGTTGGTATATTAACAATATTATATGCACAACATCATCATTAGCCTTATAATCGTGATTACACGATCACGAACAATCACCATGCGCTTAACATTATCGTTGTTATCATTACAGTTTTCATCACATTCAAACACCATCATCGTCACAGTCACGATATCATTATTGTTATACTGTATAAGCTCACGATCATAACCATCATCACGAACATTATCATGATAACGATATCATTCTTGTCATCATAATAGAATATCATCATCTTATCATCACTCTTTCATCATAATATATCATTATCGTTATCAGCTCACGATCATATACGCATTATCAGGAACATCATTATATCATAATGACGATAATGATGTTCTTGATAATTTGTATTCTTATCAGCTCACATCATAATTATCATCATCATATTTATATTATTGTTACATAACTATCATTTTAATCACTATTATCAATTATAACACTTTATTCAAATTCCTACTCTTCCAATTAGGCGTATATGAATTTTCGAAGGAAAAGCACGATTGGTTGGAGCATAGGAAACGTTCTACTAGATTTTACTGGTGGATCTCTTAGTATAGTCCAGATGATTATTTTATCTTACAACAATGGTAAATGATTAGAACAGTTGTTACAACATTACTGACTGTAGCTTGAGAATTTAATTATAGTCATATATAAAAAGGTGGTTTGGGTACTAACCTAATACATGACGACATGATAACAGCATCGCATATTTCTTGTTTACTTGCAGATAGTTGGGAAGCAATATTTGGTGACCTTACAAAGTTTGGTTTAGGCTTAATATCTGTTCTCTTCGACATATTATTCATAATTCAACATTATTTATTATATCCTCAAAAGAAACGAGACCATGAATGCATTCAAGATTATGAAGATGATGCCCAGAAAAATGGCAAGATTGCAGCTCCAACCTAGCTAGTCCAAAATACAATATATTATAAACTCTGATCTGAAAATACATCTGAATTAAGTAGTGATACCTAAGTAATGATACCTTTTTTTGTATAATTTATAACAGAAACTCCCCCACTCCCTTGTATATGCCAAAATAATGTGTGGAATACATTTACTGATTTGGTCACTTAGTAATACTTCATTTTCTCATAGTCTATCAAGATATGATGGTCTGGAAACTGAACAAAAATAATTGTATCATGTTTTTGTCTGATTTTATGTTAATTTGTGTACAGTCACGGCGATGAGCTCATTGTATTTTCATATAATTAAGTAACCGTCCAATAGGGATAGCTGAGATGAAACGTGCAACCACGATGAAAAATATTTAACGAAGTTGAGACAAAGGATTTGTGCACGGTGAGATACAGTTCAACATCAAACAAAAGTCTTCTATTTTGTGCCTTTGAAGTTTGCCGGGCTTCCTGACCATCATATCTCTTGACAGACTATGATTTTCTGCATGCTTCAGTGTACAATGAGTTACCCTATCCAGTCTCCTTTCAAATCAATGATTTTAAAGTTTGTTAAATTAAATTGAATTCAATGTTTTATTTTACTGGTAGTTGTCATGTAAAACAGAAATGCGATTACTGTAGATCTCAGACAGTATATATTCATGGTAATAGCATGGTTTCGTGTGGAAAAAAACATGCTCGTGTGCAAAATTGCAGAGTTTCGTGGAATGACGTGTGCAACAAATTGAAAAGCTCAGGAGAGCGTTGCTTTTTTTCCAAAATGCATGCTCGATAATCTATGTTATTACTTAATTAAATAATACCTATTTAAAAATTAGCAAAATCAAGTTGAATCATAACATGTAGCTGAGACTGAAGCATTAACATGTGCATGTCCAAGTATCGAACTGTTCAATCATTATTTGTGTTTTACTTATGGCCCCAATACAACTGTGCGTTGAATCATGTTTGTAATAGCACATTTTGTCTTCTGTGTAAAGCAAAATAATGGAAGGTACACTTCAGGGAATATTTTCTAATTTTATAAAGCGAATCAACCGTGCGGAGCCAATTGTTCTTAATTTGCGCTACTTTTGCATATTCAAATGATTGACTGAACAGTCGCATACTTTGATATATGTATATTCTAATTCCTCCGATCTCAGCTATACATGTATGGTGTGATTGACGCACAATAAAAATTATATACATTGCGGGTCGATACACGTTGCGTTTTAGCGCAATATGGTGCCGCGACGAAATTAATGCGAAGCGTGCCATTTATATGAACGGTTTTAACTAACCTGGGAATAGGCGTTTATAGGAGACCCCCGAACGAGCAGCTTAACTGAACCTGACAATCTCACATGTAGTACATCCAAAATATTTCTCCCATTCAATTGGCCCAAAACATTAATGTTTTTCTTCTTCGCAATTACTCGACTATATTCATCTATAAATCAACATTCAACAAAGTTTTGCATATTTTTGCTGACCTCAGTAATAAACGCAGATCTCGTACTTAATGTCAATCATATGTTCCCATGTGCAATCTCCCAAAATTATAAGGCAGACGTAGCCCACCTGAATAAACGCCTGTTCGCAGGCTAGGTTTTAACTAACTTTGGTTGCAGCAACATGTTATGTTGGAAACTATCGTTATTAAGAGAGCGAAATGAATGACATAATCTTTACTCGATCGACTGACATGACGTCATTATAAAGTCGGTATCGGGTAGACTGCTGCATAAATAATCGGTAATCTAAATTTCCAATTGTAGCACATATCTTGTTTTGGCCTGAGAGCCTCGCTCTCATGAATTGTGAGCCAATCACCGTTCATCTTGAAACATGAGAATGAGACTCCCAGGCCAAGATGAGATACGTGACGTAATTATCGAAAGGGTGTATTGTTTATCACTAGCTACATGTTACAGTTAATTATAGTTCGACAAGCAATTTATCCTGACAGAGAACGCATCATTTGGATACGGAGTGGAGACTCTGAATTCGGGCTTATTGCACTGTTTTAATTTATTCAGCTATATCAATTAATATATTCAATTCAGTGAAAATATTAATTTGTGTATACTTAAGGCTGGTTTACACTATCAAAGTTTCTGTGATCACAGCAGAAATTAAGTAAATGCTAAGTTCTTTGAAGGAATTATAAGAAATGTTTAAAGGAATTACTGATTCAGTATTGTTTACTGTGCAAAATTCCTACTGTGATCACAGAAACCTTGCCAGTGTAAGCCAGCCTTTATAATTCTTAATTTAATGAATATAAAAATTTGCTCCTATTTCACCAGATCCACTGAATAACCCAACAGCACGCTAAGGCAATACCAGCTAAAATTGTTACGAATGCAATCCTGACGCGCAAAAAAGCCCAAGAACTCGTTAATTCCTTGTGAATTTTTTCCACCTGTTGCATTGTTTCAGCTGAACTACGGGAATTATCTACGACATGAGTTGCCCACTGACACTTCTCGTTTAACGCCAATTGTGCGGTGATTCTTTGTAGGGCTTCTTCTTTTGTGTAATCATTTCTTCGCATCAGTCTACTTAGCTGGGTATCTGGGTCACTAAAGAAACAAAACACGTGATAGTAATACTAGCATCACCCATGGCAAGGGGATTGTAATTTTTGTGAAACACAATAATTAAGCTTGTTAGTAATCTTACCAGTACACTACGATTATCTTGTTCATGAAAGGTGCAATCACACCTGATTCAAACAGCAACGGAACTTCCAAAACAGCAAACCGATGACCTGTTGAATCCACGAAAATTCGCTTAGGCCTTCCCCGAAAATACTAGCTATCCTATTACGAAATATCCCGTTGGATAGATCCCTAGATCGATGACTCCATTGAATAATATTTACAAAAATATGAAGTATTTAATCATGTGGACTGTCAAAAAGTTGACCCAGTTTGTGACGTCATCTTATTTTCATATCAAATAAACTGAAATATCTTCTAACCTAAGAAAGATATGCTTGTGTGATGTTACTCTGAGTGTATATCCACACCGGGCAGGCTTGAAAAATATGCCTGGCCACGGTGGGATTCGAACCTACGACCTTTGGAATACTAGCCCAATGCTCTGCCAATTGAGCTACGCGGTCAGGTCGGCCCGAGCACGCAATATTTCGGAACTGAGTCCAGTTCCTTCGATATCAGTGTAATCTAATAATCATGATATTTGCTCCGACCTGACCGCGTAGCTCAGTTGGCGGAGCGTTGGGCTGGTATTCCAAAGGTCGTAGGCTCGAATCCCACCGTGGCCATGCAGGCATATTTTTCAAGCCTGCCCGGTGTGGATATACACTCAGAGTAACATCACACAAGCATGTTATTCACCTGAGTACATTACACCAACACAGCAAATATCATGATTATTAGATTACACCGGGATTTTTTCAGGGATTTTTTAGGGCCGTTAAACGGCTCCAAAAACTCAATCTTGAATTGAGTTTTGAAACTCAATCTTCTCACCAAAAGTTTCAGTGCAGTAAAAATGAAGTTGTTTGAGTTAAATTCGTGACATGTGGAAATTAGTTTTCAGTTGGAAACCCGACAATTAAGACCAAATGGCTGGAATTCATCTCACAACACAAGAATAACTATGCATTCGCCATCTTTAACCAGTTTATAGTGTCCGTTAGAGTACAGGTGTCAGTCCCCCGGTAGGGGGTGCAGCCACCCCAGCTGTTCAGCTAAACTCGATCTTCTCTGCAAAAACTGACCCAAGAGAAAATCTTGAGAAAAAAACCTGCACTGATATCGAAGGAACTAGACTCAGTTCCGAAATATCGGATACTCGAACCGACCTGACCGCGTAGCTGAGTTGGCGGAGCACTGGCCTAGTATTCCAAAGGTCGTAGGTTCGAATCCCACCGTGGCCAGGCATATTTTTCAAGCTTGCCCGGTGTGGATATACACTCAGAATAACATCACACAAGCATCTTATTCACCTG